TAGCATGCCGACGAGATTGAATGAAATAATTGAGGGAAATGGTAATAAGATAAGCTACTAAGCAACAATAAGTAAAAACGTTTTAGTGTATTATAAAAAACATATCTTTAAATTTTCATGTTTCTTTGACTATTTTTCGTTACACAATTAGTAAAAACGCCATTCCAAAAACTTTTTTCGTGCACTGTATATATCAATTTTTATTACAGGAAAATGACCCTTTGAGTTATATCTTCACTTCACACGTATTTTGAAAATTTTCAAGTAATATTTGTTCAGCTTTTGATATATAAGGTAAAGTTGGTTGTTATTTCATTTTTTCTCATAGTCTCGAACGCACCGATTTTGTCAGGAATAGTAATATGTTCTTTATATCGCATGTGATATACTAATTGATGGAAGAATAGATTGTATTTTATAGCGATTTCTGCAACACTACTGATGTGCTCTGCAAGATTAGAACTGTATAGAATACATAATATCTGGCTCAATCAGAATTTTTATATGTACCCCTTTCTTGATTTTTAATTCCCCTCTTTTTATTATTTCGATATACTTTACTAAATTCTCCCATATTACAGAAATTGGATCACCACATATAAAGTGTTCATAATTAATACAATCTCCTTGGAGAGTTTCGTATCTTTTTAGATAATATTTCTCTTCCTTTTTTACGGCATCCTTATAAGCACGGCGATATGATACCCGCGAGCAGACATCATTTTAGAATCGATTCCATTAACTACATTCATTTCCTTAATATACGACTCAAGCCATTTCTTGGCCTCGTTTTGAGCATGGGTGTCAATTCGTTTATACTTCTCATCCAAGTCCGTATAAGTTGCATAATCTTGTCGGAAGGCAAAGACTCATATTTCTTGTCATACATTATGAATCGGGCACAAAGACCGGTAATAGTGTTTTCGAAGTAATGGTATAAATCTATGCTTCTACCAAAATCCTTAGCTACATCTACGAATTTCATTCGATCGGCCTTTGGTTGCTTAAGCTTTATAACAGATAAATCAAAGACTCTTTCAGGATTGGCTACCACATAACTAAATCGTTCGCCAGGATCTGGAATTTTACTTCTCATATTTTTCTCTCATTTGTTTTATGAATCGCTGAATACATTTGTTATCTTTATTAGGTTTCCAGGCATTTATTTCTATAAACTGATCGAAATTCCATTGTCCGGAATTAGTTATACCTCTTTAAGAATCTCTTCAACAATATCATGGAGTGTTCGATTATTGTTAATATCCATCGCACCCACATAATTTGATTTACCGGTAAATACTACTGGAAATAAAACTTCTTCATAAGCCATTTTAAGATAGGTCGATCTACGTGTGTGTGTGTGTGTGTGGGGGGGGGGCTGAAAAGTCTTGCGCGTGGACCTTTATTTCCAGAAATTACATAATAATTATCAATACAACTAATTCATTCCTTCAAAGTACTCTCCATTAACATTCGACCCTGGCAATTTTTCTGACGTCACTGCTTCGCGAGGACGTCCAGAACAAGCCTTGTCTTTAATTTCTTCTTCCCCGTCTTTGAATGTAACAATCCAGCGTCTAATTTTGCTAATAGACAATGCTTGTTCCCCTTTTACATTCACCAACTCTTCGTGGATTTGAGTCACATTTCTGCCATTTTTCCAAGAAGCGAAAATAAAGTACCGTTGGTCCTTACGGCTCATTTTTTTTCCTGTCGTTTTACTATGGTTTACAAAAAAAAAAATGGTTTCTCGACAATGAGATAATAAATTTGCCTCTACTTTTTTTTTCATTTGTTACATGAAAGCATGCGCATTTTATGATTATTCCAATTTTAGTTAAATTGACGCAATCTCGAGTTAGAGAGCCACACGCAAAACTTTTCAGCCCCCCACGTATTCTTTATTCTAAGATCACATCATCACGTAATTTTTCCATCACTTTCATGGTAATATTAACCATTTTGGACCAATACCCCAACTTTGAAATTGTGCCTTTCCTTATTATAAGCGAGATCACATTCTTTATAACATTCAACGGGACAGGTGAGATACAAAAAATCAGTGTCCCCATATTTGATTCCAAAACCTTTCTTCTTAGTTACATACTCAGCAACAAATTTAATGTTATATTGTCTTGCCGATGTGACACCACCGGCCAATTGTAGAAAGAAGAATGGGGATAGACCATTACCACCTCTATGCTCCAAAGGACCAGTTTTTTTAAGCTTTTTGACATTATATCGTACAGTTAAGACTGGTAGCTTTGTAACTCTTGCTAGTTCGGGCACAGAACGGACACCTTCATCCAATAATGTAATAAAGCATGCAACTTTTGTTCGTGAGCGTTTGTTGACATTTTTACAGTATAACTTGCAAGAGTTTTTATTTATTTACGACGCGTAATAGAAGACCGTTGTTTACATTTTTTAGCTGGCAAAATATGACGCGAATTGAGCCAAAACTGACAAAGATTAATTATTAGTTAAATTTTTCCGCAAATAGATAAGTTTTTTTGTCACATACTGTATCATGAATGAAATCGAGTTAGATAACATGCATGTCATTAACATAAGCGAAATCGGAACATATTTCTAATGCTAAC